ATTTCACTATGAATTATGCTTTGAGCATACTCTAATTAATAATAATATAGTTGACTACTTACAAAGGACACCTAAAAGAAAAAAATGAAATGAAGGAGCAAGAGTGTTGAGATTGAGAGAATAGTCAACTCTCACCTTACGGACACCTTGCTACAACGGACACCTTGATATTGTGGACAGCAAAATACTGAATCCCCAGCGAAAAATACAGAGAAATGACTGAAAGTAACTCTCGTTACTACAGACTCGCACTACTGTGGACACTAAATTATAGTCCTGAGGGTGTACGTAATAGCAAGAGTAGACTGTATATAGCAAGTTCATAGTCCTGTCTGATTAATTACAATGGCAAAGGGAAATACAGAAAATTTTGCTTGAATCTCATGGTCCATAACGCAACAGGTGAGCTAAAAATAGATTACATAGAGGCAGTGAGTGTGAATAGGTGTCCAACCCCTGGCCCTGAAAAAACACTAGAGGGTGAAGGGGCACATAATGCTATTGAAATCTTGAAATAAGAGGTATGTTTTAAGACAACTGCRATATATGCCAATGGACTATGCTGACCACTGGAATATTAGATATTAATATGCAATTAATTACATTATTTTTGATTTAATGGCTCATAACTTACAACTCATTGACTGATGTGACTCATGAAAACTGATTTCTAGATCCTGACAGTCCTGAACATTAGTACTCTTTCTGCAGAATCWTTTTGTTGATAAGTTTATAACAAGGCTATTTACTTACTTTTCAGGTGGATCCCAGGTCAATAGAATTCTAAGATCTCTATTATCATTTAAGTCTGCAGTCCACCCTTCTGAAATACAGCAAAATAGCATTTTTAGACTTTTAGTTCATAAATCCAAATAATCCGTTATTAATTAGACTACAGCTGTACTTCATATTATGTACAAATAACTTAGCATTTAATTACATCTAATTCCAAAAACATTGCCCTGAGATTCAAATATTTACATTCAAGGTGAAAACTTACTTTTGCGTAATTAATTCCTAAATTGTTACAAAGGTCTTTTACTTATGTGCAATGAATGTGGAGTTAGGTTTCTTCCTTTCCAATGACAAGTACATATCAAAAGAAGGCAAGAATTGGAATTCAGTTTACAATATTATAGCTTACTTGTCAATGGACATTTTTCTATAATACTATTTTCATGAAAGTACTTTTGGGATTCAGTAAGGCTGCAATAAAACATAAAATGCATTGTAGTTCAAATTCTCCGAATGTTTGTGGATTGTTCTCAAGGGAGTTTTCATACAGACAGACAAACGTTTATCACACAAGACAGTGCAATGTCCCCTAAAATAACATGTAAAACAAAAAACTCTCTGATGCATTGATTACAATCTATATGCCTCAGAAGCTCATTTCCTCAGATTATGAATTCAGAGTTGGATTTTCCTGTTCATCATTGGCATTCATATTACACAGTTTACTTGAATTAAMAATTCAGTAGTGAACCTCCCTAGACCTCATCAACTTTGATGATATGCTTTCCAATTCATGATAACAAATTACAAATTGATAACACAGAATTGGTTTTGAAAATGAAGTAAAAGATGTCATTGACACCAATATTGTATGATATAAAAGACAATTGTAAGGCTAAATACACTGCACCTTGTAGTTTTCTGTAACATTTCCAACATAAGTTTTTCATACGTTACAGTTGAGAATTGGACAGAAAAATTGAGTCTATTCTTGAATTGTTCAAATTCTGGGATCTGTGAAGTTGATGGACAACATCAATAAGCTCCATATCAATACAATATTTTACAAATTATATTGCTTTTCTCTATATGGCAATATGATGGCAATATAGCAATATGGCAATAATATTTTGAGCAAAATTACCTTTTCAAAAGATCCATACTTGTAAGCAGCAATAAAATATTCAGGACTCTAGAGAAAAGTACGCAGCCTTATGTAAATGAAATGATCTACTATAATACAAAAACCAAAAAGGGTGTAACATAAATACCACTAAATAACGCCAATGTATATGTTTTCTTAATTAAGTACTCATGTATTTAGTAGAGTGCATTCAATACAGCCGTTTGCAATAATTCTGACCCCCCTACACTAATATTCATATATATCAAAATAGCCTTAGAAATTATGGGATACCGTTGCTGATATTTTTTTTAGAAAGTACTCATTCTGGACAACTCAAAAAATATATCAGTCATGATATCCCATAATATTTAAGGTCAGTTTGATATATATGAAATATGGCAGAGGGGGTCAGAATTATTGCAAACAGCTGTATATCTGTAAAACATTTTATAACAAAGTTGCACTAATCAAACAAAGAAGACAAAATTTTCTTTGCAAACTATTTCATGGATATATTGAGAGCACATACTCTACTAATTTAGTTAAATAATAAGACAAAGTATTGCACATTTTAACATTTTTAGTGACCCATGTGCATCAGCAGCCATTCAAAATAAAATCTTTGTTTTTGAAACAATCTGAGAGCAACTTTTAACAAGAGATCATTTGTAAAACAAACCAAACGATCACAAAGGTTCTTTTGGTTCTTCTTATCAACACTTCTATCACAAGMATAAGTTGATACCACTACTTACATCTTTTTGATTGGCGAAAAAGTACTTCAGCGTAGACGTATAAAGAGTAATTGCTTCTTCAAAGTGACCAAGGTAAAACAAGTATCTACTAACAATATACCTGCAAAAATACAGCAATCGTTGTGGAACATGTTCAATACCCATAAAAGAAATAGCTGGATATTGTTATTTCAAAAGCAACCAAGTTTATCTCTAGATTCATCAGGTCATGAGGAAAATGTTGCTTTGCTGATACCAAACCAAAATCCAAATAGTTTACTTGGCATTGATTGTTTGATAAAAAGTTGAATTCACTTTTATTTCMAGGTTCTACATTGTTGTGAAAATCTTCATAAATGTGTTGGCACTGTGTTTGCCTTAGTAAGAAAATGATTCGTGTGGTAGTCATATTCCTAATAGTAAATCTATGAAAATTTATCYTCAAAATGTACCCCATCTAGTCTAAAAGGAACCAGGGGTTCCCTGCACCCCCTGTAAGTTAAGTACAATATTTGTACTGATTTAATAAAATATTCAACCAAAGTTAAACCAACACTTCTTGTAAACTATTTATCACTAGATTATGAATAGCATTGCTTTGTACCCTTTCAATACTGCAAGCATTAAATGATACATCAGGTGTGTACATCATACAAGCAAGTCATTGCACAATGAGCAGGATTGCACTCGCCCTTGATTTATGCTATTAGGATATCGATAGTTTGAAACAACATTGCTTCAAAGCAACTTAGTAAAATGATGAAGTATAACCAGTAGTTATTTTTTAATGATTGTATATTCAAGTAGTAGTAAACATACCCTATAGTATCTAACTGGATGTGCTTGATTTCCATAGAGTCAAACAATGCAAGAGACGGTCTTGCAGCACCTAAAGAATACACAGTATATTTTCAATACATTTTGCATTATGCACAGTGTACATTATTTTTCTTATCTGAATATCTTAATGACAAATCTCTTGCAGAGATCTGTTATAATACCAATAACGATGCCAACTTTGCCCATATTAATCCATCATTAATGATGCAAAATGAAACCCAAAAATCTGTGAATACAATATACTTTGCACACAATCATAAAATATTTTGAAATACMAAATAAATCATTTTTGACATTCAACAACAATACACATAAAATAATCCAATAACATATTTTAACAGTGAATCAATGTTTTTTAGATWTTTTGGTTAGTTATTCAAAACATATTACCCATCAAGCTGTACATCCTCATTAGAAGAAGCTTGGCATTGTGGTTTGAAGGACTTGCCTTTAAGATACTCTCCAGGAAAATGAAGATATGCCAYACCATAGCATCTGATTCTATCAATAAAACAAAGTATGATGAAATCTAGGATGTGCTATGTTAAGAAAACATTTTAGAAAAAAAGTCTGAATACTGATTGTGATATTACAACTCTTATATCCCCATCGATGATCAAAATTACAGTATAACCCAGTTTCTGTGATTGTTCTTAACATCCCAGTGTCACTTAATAAAAGAAGATACTGTTAAATAAAGATTTTGTAATATGCTCACATACCTTTTTCTTYGTTGATATCTAACAATAAATGCACAGCTAATAATGCAAAACCATCACTATGTTGAAGCTCTGTACTCTCCAAATCACTACCTGAAAAGTAGAAAAAAACCTTAAGYGGCATGTAAAATGTTTTTGATGCATTGGCATGATAAAATAATGTTTTTGACAACAKCAAAACTTTAAAAAAGTACAGTGTAGCCTCATTAATCTAGCCAGCAAAAGTAGATCAAAACTTAATTGTATTAACAGAGTTTCTGTATTAAGCAGCTCGTCATTATCCACTGTAATAACTAATGAAAWATGTTTGAAATGGGCTGTGTGAATTCTATTTGTTGACTGAAGTTGTAAGGCCATAGTACAGTCTTAATAAGCAGTCATTCCATATTAAGACTTGGGTGTCCAGGCTAAGCACTTGTGCAATCACTCCATCATTGTATATTGAGTGGCGTATGATTTGAACCACCTTTACGTGAAAGAGCAGCAGTTGTAAAATGACATTGAACATAACATACCTAATTCAAGACCATCCTTGTGACATTTCATGTATTCTTTTGAAAGAGAAATTTTGTCCTCTACTGAAAGCTGCTGGTGTTCTCCRACAAATCTTGACAGCTGTTCAATGTTTAATTGTCGTTGCAAATGTTTTATCTACAAGAAATTTAATYATTAGTCATTTTACTGCCCTTTTATTGTTTTGATGATTTCAAGAAGTGTCAACCAGTTCAACAGATTCAACTTACATGGGATGACCTCGATTCGTCTTTAGAAGGAACCACAAGTGTTTCTTTTAGTGCTTTAGGGAGCTGTGATGAATGAAAGACAAGCTAATCATTGATAAAACTAATTCATGTCAGAAAAGCAAAATGAAAGCAATACAGATAACAGTTGAAAATTTCATYAAACATCAGCACATTCATTAAYCTTCATCCAATGATCATCACCAGTGTCAAGGTGAAGTCAAATACAATATTTATATATTATTGCCATGTGACAACACATTKGTGCCTAAAATGATCTACTGTAATTATAGATTGGAACCAGCCACAAAATCAGGAAACAGGCCTTGTAACCATAGTAACAATGACAGAGAAATAACCCAAAATTCAGAAACCTTATAGAGTGGATTTCTTATTACTGTGCAAAAAGCACATAGGATATTCAAGCATAACCATGCCTTGMTGTGACGGTGATGTGTTCTTGCATCACTATTTCCACTTGGCATCATTACCTGGTTGTGTCGTTTCTGTCAATGTACTATCATTTCAATCAATAGGAGAGAAATGTCATACCTGCCTTCTCTGGTCCTGATCTACTAGGTAAACATATGGTGAAATATCATTGAASAGACAGCTCTTGGCTCCAAATCTCTCAAAATAGTCAACAAGTAGGTCGAACATTGTAACAGAATCTGTTAAAATCAACATGATCGTATTATTTTCATATGAGAATATTAAAAACGTCTTTCTGTTTTAAAAATATTTTTCACTAACAAAATTAGACAGCAACCAGTCTGCATTTGTTTTGTGCAAGGTGTATCAGGTATGGTCAGATTGGTAAGAACTTGCCTGGCATGACAATACTATAAATTACAATATAATCAATAGATGGAGATCACTAGATTTTAGTAAGCACAAATTTATAGATAACAGACCTGGTCTCGTATCTTTAAAGATGCCTTCTTTTATGAGCTTTTCAAATTCTAACTGAGCTAAAAATGGTCCTCTACAAGCCAGACTTCCTTTTGCCTTTTCTTCTTCTTGTAAAGTCCAAATTAATCCTTCTATGTGTACAATATCAAAGTCGGGTAATCTTTCTCCACTAGAAAACACATGCATTTTAAGGTTGTGAGATTGAATGTATTGTTGGTACATTTTGGCAACAAGATAGGAAAAAGTTTTAGAAAGGAGGCAGAGATATAAATCTTGCAAATATGATAGTATGGGGGTGCAACGATACAAAAAGGGGTTTCCATACACACCTAATTTTTGTTTAAAGAATTAATGCCTGTTTAAAGTACAGTATGTATAATATTGTACAATCATTCATTTAAAGATAAATGCATTACTCACTCAAACTCCTCTGTTGGCTGCCAGTTTTCTCTAATCAATGTAACAAGACAGTCAAAGTAGGCCTGGTAATAGCTCCATTGATCTGGTCTAAACAATATTCACAATACTGTCATGTATACAGCCTTTTGCAAAAATTATGAGAATTGTTGAAATATCTAAATATCATAATATCGAGTGCATGATGGGTAATCCCGCGCGATGCCCTTAGTCCCTTGTCTTTGTAGTTTAGTTTTTTTTCGGCGACAGACTTATCCGTAGTTCTGAACATTTTCTCGATGTCAACAATGAATTATTCTAGCAAAGCCGCATGTTCCGGACAATATATGGATATGGATATTATGATATTTAGATATTTAGACAATTCTCATAATTTTTGCAAAAGCCTGTACTGATAACAACATTATTATGCCTATATATCACATGGAAAATACAARCTTGTAATACTCACACTTTATCAATCAATTCTTTATACATAATGTTAGCTTCTGCCCATCGATTTAATTTGATAAAATATGCTGCTTGCTTTTCTTCAGACTCTAATGGATAACTTACAAGCTTTCCTACAAAAYGGACAAGGACTTGGTTAGCAATTTTGCCCTGAAATTCTTAAGCATAGTTTACTATTCTAATCATAGAATAGACAAACTTTGAGGATTTTATTGTTACCTCCTAGAGGTCCTTGTAGAACTTCTATTGCTTTGTCATATTTTTCAAGAGCTTCTAGTATGATGAGATACAGACGAACTTCTGAAATGACAAACAGTGTAACAATAATTAACTTGTTAAAATGTCACAAAACCACGAAATAAGGACTGGTTGGAATTATTTTCAGTGAATGCATTACTAAGCTACAACATTCTATGATCAACACTTTACATGCWACATTACAAGGTGTACATACATGCCATGTCCTATTTTCCCCTTCAGTTTCACCCACCTGCTTCTGCATTAACTTTYCCTTCATTGATAAACTTCTCCACCATTCTTTCTGCCAAAGGAAGCAGCATTGACTTTGAGATTCTTTCATCATTGCAGTGAAATGCCTTCATAGAGATATGAAAATCAATTTAGTACAAATTGTACAACACATGGACACCATAATAACTGCCATAAATAAGATTTTTAGTTTCAAGTCGATATAAAGATCTGATAAAAATCTGACAAACATTATTTTACATTGTACATGTACTNATAACGCATAAATTATAATTAAGGAATAAGTTAATAGATCTCCTGCATATTAAGAGACACAAATTTGGAAAATCAATCTCTGTGGCCAGGTATCGTGGAGTGTACTGCTTGATGAATATGGTCTTTCCTGATGACACTAGCTTGCTTGACACTTAAGGGGTATAAAATACTACTTCCCTCTAGAAAATTGGTGCAAGTATTATGACGCGACACCCCTAATGATAAGCCAGGGAGTGCATGCAGCAGATTTCTAATGAATTGCAGCTACATAGAACATTGCACATAAAACTCACAGAACCTCACATACATAATTATATGGCATCATCATGAAATAGTCAAAGATGATTTTAGATACAAAATAACCTCTAAAACATTTTCAAACTCCTAGTACCAACATTCCCAAGGACGAGTGCGTCAGTCAGTTCGAAGCTCATTTTGCCAGGCAGGGGAAAAAATATTTCATTAGACTGATATGAAATTCGCAATCATCGTTCTTACGTTTCTGCATCTCTCGAAAACAGATYGTCATGGCTTGTAAAGTTGAATCGTCTGCTGGCTTAGCATTCATGATTTCATTCATTAGAGCACTGCATTCCGCAGCTCTACCAGACCTCAGAAGTGCTAATGCTTTCAATGCCTAAAAAAATATTGCAAGCTGTTATGACAGCATATCTAACTTTAAATAAATCCCTGCAKATGTTTGAACTGACCTTTGCACAGTGAAAATCTTTCTGTTTCTTCAAAATCTTGTCTGCAAGTTGAATGGCCTGTTTATTGTTCATGAGATCCAGAGCGTCTGAATAGCAACACAACAATAAATTAACTGKCGTGAAAAGGCAATGAAGTGAAAATTAAATAAATGGGAACCAAATATTACCATAAACTGGCCGAAGCCGGCGCTCATTTACGTCCACACGCCGAGCTGCCATGTTGGATGTCTGCAGCACATGGGTCAGTGGACCCTTCACTAGCAAAATGACGTCCCTATGAAAAGTACATCATCTTATCATGCTCCTTGATTACGCGGGGATTGTCCTCGAAATGACGATCTAAAATTGTCTTTATAGAGAAAATACAATCAAGCAGTTGAAATTTATACTGGAAMTATCATTTCTTTTTCATTCTAAGCTTTCACTAAAACGTATACTAGGCTACTATATGGACTTTCAGTACCACAGGGATTCATGAGTCCACGAAGTCATAAACCAGCGGTCACTACTAATCTAAGACAAAAAGAAATATTTTATGAAAATGGCAACACGTTATTTACGTTTTTAAAGCATCTTAACTTTGATTATGGACTACRAACAAGAGCAGGAAGAAGAACGCGAAGTCCTTCTTTCTATTTACGAAGAGGATGAAAGATTTACAAAGATTGACGAGAAAACATTTCAGTACAAGTTTGGAGAAGATGGTCATTTYAAGTCATTTGTGTTAGAAATCAAATGGACCTCACAATACCCCGAGAATGCCCCAAATGTAAATCTGGACGCTTTTTATAACAAGCATATTATTCATGAAGTCAAAGAATCTATTATATCTAAGTTAATGGAACAATGTGAGATGAATCTGGGTTGTGCTGTGACTTACACACTGTTCGATTGGACGAACGAACACTTCGACGAACTGACAGAAAATCAGACTGAAGCATTTCAGCAGCAATCAGTAGGTTCACTTTAGTAGAATCACTTTAGAATACCCTGTCACTTAATGAATATCATTAAGCTTAAAATCTATTGAATAAAAGAGCCGGTAYATGCAAATTTCTATTGAGTCAGAAAGTGACGGGGTATTCTAAAGTCACTTCCAGTCAAGACTTGGGAAACAACCTTTTTTGTCCCACATGCAATAGCAGTGGACTCCTTATAGTGTACTGGCTCTTTTTGGTCATGTGGGATTCCTGTGGTAGACCACACTGCAAACCATGATTGTATGGATCCTCTATAACAATTCTGTATCTATGCTATTATCAGTTAGTCATGTCAGGATGTTTCTTAATGTCTCAGCATGCATCCTTCGGTCCATGCTACTTCTCCTTGAAGGCCTTTGATAGGATGATACATTTCATTACTGCATGCAACAGTAGAGCAGGGTACTATGGCACTTTCATATGGTGCCAAGAACATGCCTTATTACATGTAATTATCATTTCTATTTGGTATTACTTGTACCATAGTTTCCATGTCATTATGTTGCACATTCCTGAAATCTATACTACTTCAATATATGGAGCATAGCATAGAAACACAAGCTAAGGACAACTGAAAATTCTGTCTTTTATTTTCCCCAATAGAAGGAAGCTTTTTTAAAAAACTTAATGTAATTCAGTAGAATACATTGTGTCTTCTAGGAAGCTGCAAGTGCCTGCAAAGATGTCAAACAGCAGGATAGTGCTGAAAGTACCAAAAAAGAAAAGAAAGAAAAACTGACAAAACAGCAAAAAAGAAAGCAAGCAAATAGACTTAATGCCAAAGGAGAACTTGAAAGAGGTTGGAACTGGGTYGATGTTGTTAGACACCTTAGTAAAACAGCTTCTACATAAATGGATTTTTATCAATGTTGAGACGTGCAAAATGCGAGAGTTATAATTAAGGAATTATTCATAATTAAAAAGATCATTCATAATAATTATTGAATAGAAATACTTTTGTTTAGTGGTAAATAGTGATGTCATGTAGAGTGCAACTGTACAAAATCTAAGTAGTATTAATTTGTACTAAAAGTGGACCTTAAACAAGAGTATTGAATGCTTCATTTGTATCAATTCAATTTAATATGCATACGGCATGCACAATTTACTAAATACAACTAAATAGCAGTATTTAGTTTGTACAGTTGCACAGATTAAGTGTGGTCACTCTACAAACAC